TTGGGAATTTCAAAATTAAAAACAAAATTGAAGTTTCGTTTCGTCCGGTGATAACTCCGACCATTACGCGCCGTCGGGCAGCCGCCGAAGTAAAAGACAGCCGTTTCTCTGTTTCAATTTGCCGTTAAGAGACGGCGGCTGCAGCGGCGGCGGCCACCGTTTCTTTTGAAGGATACATAAATTTTGGATTTGTTCTTTTAATAGGGGAAAAATAATATATTGATGAATATTAAATTTAATCTTTTTGTTAACTTTCAGTTTTTTTTCTTCCTTTTTTGTAAAATTGATTTTGAACTCCCTCTTTGATTTTTTTTTTCTTTTTAAATTAATAACAATAAAGTGATTTGGCAGCATTCTCCCAAAATGAGCATATTAGTGTTCAAAAAATCCGACGAGGTCAAATGAAGCCTCAAATCGAGTTGGATTGTGATTTTCTAAATCCGATCGAGTTGGATCGAGTCTCAAGTTCAACCTTAAAAAAAGTGAGTCAATCAAACTCAACCCGAATTTATGGATATGGGTGTGTTTTTTCTTAATTATATATATAATAATATCTTTAGTGTTAATCATAACCCTTCATTTAAGGTTTTCAGGTATGTTATATTCTTCCATTTTGTATATCTTAATCTCAACCATCCATTAAGTTTTAATCGTAATTTTCCGTCATCGTGATAATTAAAAATTAAAAAAGAACAAACAAACTGACAATCCAACCTAAATCAATTGACGTTAACAAGTGACTAATTTAATATTATAAACTTTTGTTGGTTATTGATAGGGCATAATTTTATATAAAGTCTAATTGATTTAAGTTTGAAAAAATTATATCCTTTCAATCTTTTAGAATAATAGTAATAATAATAATCTCCTTCTGCGCAAACCGAAGATGAAGATCAACGTTTGATCTGGTACGACAAATGTAGGGGGGTCCTAAGACCAACCATTACGTGGCAAAATCTTGTTGCATCAATCAAGCTAAAACTCGCCCTTTGATGATGATAGATATGGAGGTGATTCCTCTCATTCCAATATACACCTCATGTTCTTTTTAATCCATTCCAAATATATTTAAAATTTTAAATATTATTTTAATCTGTAAACTTTTAAACCATATATTTTGTAACATGAAACATAGCTATCTACACTTTATTTTTCTAGATGTTTCAATTTAAGATATGATAAATGTATGATATCAAGTCTTAATACAGCCAATGTGGTATATTTCGCTATAAATTTATATAAATGCCTCTAATAATAAATAATCATGCATTATTATTACAACAAGAATTAGTAGGACATTCGAATATCTCAACTAAATCGACATAATTTTTTTTTTTTTTGAAAGAAAGGGAATTTCATTAAACAAAAATCAGAAAGCCTCGTGGGGATATCACTCTTAGCAGCATTAATAAGCCAAAGTGGAAATTATGAAAACCAAGATAGAGTGACTAAAAATGGGAAACAAGATTTTACCAACAAATGGACCGATTTGTTGCAATTTCGCGGCAGGTGATGAAAACAATAATAATTAAATTGATGTGCCAAGCTTCGCACGTCCAGCACCCAGTTGAGCTCGTCTCCTATCGAAGAAATTTCGTATCCAAAATTGACATAATTTTGTCACCTTCATCATATAAACTATTTAAATACGATTATTAAATTGAGAAAAAAGTTACACTATACTACAAATAAAAAAACAAAATTAACTTAAACGTTAATCACAACTACTAACTTGAACATGGTTCAACTGACTAAGACATGTATTTCCAACCAAAATGTAGTAAATTCGAAGCCTCTTTTGCTACTAAAAAAACGTTCATTACAACTCAAAAAATTCAAATAAAAAAATCATAGTACCAATGACACCAAAGAGAATTACACTTTTTGATTATGCAACTACAAAATAGAAAAATATATATATACACACTAAGCATTCGTTAGTCATTGGTCGACCACTCTCCAATACAATTATTTGACCATGAATGCAGATGGCCGATCATTGATTATAATGCTGGTTGATTTTTAATACATATTATTTCTCAATTGTAACGGTGAATTAAAAAATATATATATATAATTAAAAATATTTATTAAATATCACGTCACAATTTAAAATTATATTTAAGACCCATTATAAAATTACAAGTATCCTAAATTAATCAAATTATGCCACATGTCTCTTTTATGGCCGTCCGATCCATCGGTTAATAATAGATCAACCCATGAGGAGATTGAGTCCAAATCCACAATGAGATTGGATCCAAACTCATAAGGAGATCAGACCAAAACCCATTAAGCTCATGATTTATATAAGATCCACCGAAACTCTAAAAATAGAGGGGGTCACCTCTCATTTGCCACCTTTTGAGAGATTTAGAAGAATTGAAGATTTAGAGTCGTTGGAGCATTCATAATCATCTACAATCATTCAGAGTCAAACGAAACATTCAGAGTTGACAAGACTTGAAGAGTTCATCAAGTTGCAAACTCCATCTGCTGCAAACAAAAGAACAATTCATAAGCTACAAGTCGAAGAACTTCACAAGTGAAAAGTCGAAGATTTAAAAAATTCTTTAACTAGTTTAAAGCTAAAGATTCTAAAGATCCTTCAACAAGCAAGAAGTCAAACTCATTGATTCGAGAACAAGCTCACAGCCATCAGATTAAAGTTTACATATGAGATAATTAATAAGAATATTATACATTAGAGATTATAACACTCACTTATATAAATACAATACAAGTTCATTCAATTCGAATTTCTCTTCTTTAAATTTCTGGTCGAACATATGCAATTGTAATGATAATTAAAAGACAACTAATAATAAAGAGAAACGATATAAAAACGTATTTGACGTGGTTTGCTTTCTCAATATACCCCACGATCATGCTAAATAATACGGTTAACAATTAAAAGTTAGTACAATTTTCAAGCAATATTGACGAATGTATAAAAGAACTCCATTCTTAAATCATGCCACAATACTTAATCGACTCGTTAATTAAATTTTTTCAAACACAAGCTTTCCTTATGTATATGCAGTAGACCATTGGTAGAACTCCCTTTAGATGGATGTACTAACAATTAATTTTTTTCTAGTTTAATAAAGGGATAAAAATTGTTCATTTGCCCATTAAGCTATGCTCAAGTCACGTTGGACAAGTAATTGTTGAATTTTTGGCAAAATATAAAAGAGCGAAAATTTCACATCCGAAAGTATACAACAAAGTAATGTGCTTCAAGTACTAACAAAAATGTTTATGGCGTTGAATTTTATACTTATTTATGTGGTAGAAATAATATTCTCTTTTTTTTCTACCACATTAATAATTTTGCAAATACAGGAAGTTAGTAACTTTCTAATAGAAAAAAAAAGAATAATAATAAGACAAAGAAAGAAATAAATGGRGGGATGCGAGGAGAAGGTGGCGCGTTGTAAGGAAATTGAATGATAAATAATAATAATAATATTATTATGGGAAGGATAATAAATGCTTAGTACTATGCCCGGACCTACACACAAACACCTCTACGTCATAAGTAAAATATCTAGGTACTATATTGCACATTCTGATTTTTTCATAAATAATTTTTTAATATTAGTGGTCCACTTCCATATATCGAATAATATTTAAGAATTTGTCGAGGATCACCCGTCTCATGCTATCAAAGTATTTATAAAAGATTAAAGGTTCAAAGCTACATTTGAACAATATACCTCCATTAAAGTAACAATTTAATCTATGTACTATAAAATTGGTTACAAATTAGTCCATATCGATAAAAATTAGGTTAAGGTTTCCATGCTGTATAAATTATAGAGCCATCTATGTAGATCAGTATAATTTTGGTGTCATATGAGCCTGAGAATTATGCACAAAAGCGTAAGAGCCGAGGGGTGAGAGATGGAAGTCCAAAATTGAGCCCAATTAAATCAAGGTCGAACAAACCAATATGCTGATGACCCTTTAATTTGTACACATTAATTCCAGTTGGTAGCCAGGTCAAGTTTATTAGTCTAAAAGAACTAGAATTAATTGAGAGGAAATGGATTCAAATTACATGAATGTCATCTACTCTATTCTTCTTCTTGTTGGTCCCTTAGCTTCTGTTTTGTGGCCTCTCTTGGGGCTTTTTTTTGGCTTTTTCTTTCTTCTTTTAGGGACAGATTGAGTGAGAGATATTAAGGGCACTGGTCCTCTGAATCTGATCTCTGCCAAAAAAAAAAAGAAAAAAAAAAGTATGCGTGCATGTTTGAGAAATTGTTCTCTCTCTGTGTCTCATCATACATAATATAATACAAATACATCATCCATTCTCTCACTACAGTTTTTTGTGTGTGCGTGAAAAATAAAACTTAAAATTTGGGTTTAAATCATAATTTTGTTGTCTTCACTTATCTATAATTCTTGTCTTGTCTTTATTTTAGTTTTGACAAAATACGATGTAGTTTTGAGTCTATATGTATTAGCGCGTTGATATAGATATATTGTTGAGCCATAAATATTAGAATTGTAAAGTGTGTAAACAAAGTCTCGCATTAGTTATGGAATGGAGTGATACATATGATATATAGATGATAACAGTTATCTCAATTAGGTTTAGACATTTTGGATGAAACAAAAAGCAAATTCGTGAATATTTTGTCTAAAATGGATAATATCATACTATTGTGCCTTAACCATTTGAGCTATACTCGGTTTGACAATATATTGTTAATCATTAAAAAAGTAAATATTGACCAACTTCACGTCACTTCGACCGTAGATTAATTTTCGCGATAGAAACTATATCGTTACCAAATTTAAACAATTAGATTAAAATACCACACATATAAAAAAAAAATACACTAATCTTACAAAATCATTACAGAGAGCCCAAAAAAATGTATTTCAAATGCATAAGGTACAACTCCAACTTAATATATAAAATGGGATTTTGATCACATCTCACTTTCACTATCTCTCTTTCTCTCTCTCTCCTCCGATCAATGACCCAGATGGATGATAGCGGCGGCGGCCACCGGAGGTCCGACAGCTACCTCCCGCCGGGATTCCGGTTCCACCCCACCGACGAAGAACTCATTGCCCATTACCTCCTGAAGAAGGTCCTCGACTCCCACTTCTCCTCCCCCGCAATCGCCCAAGTCGATCTCAATAAGTCCGAGCCCTGGGACCTCCCCGGTCAGTCTTTAAATTTATCCTAATTCATCAACTTAAAGTTTCGAAATTACATTGTACGTCTTTTCAGAGAGATTTGAACTCATAAAATTAGTTATTTTATGCTTGATTTTCAAGTATTCTTTAAAACCCTATTTGAAGTTTTGCTGAATTTCTAAAAACTACTTTAAAATTTTTCGATTAATTTTGGAAACGTTAAGAGAAAAAAGAAAAAAGAAAAAAGAGAAACCAATTTTAAAAATGGTATAGAAAATTGAAAAGAGTAATGGTTTTGATTGACAGAGAAAGCTTCGATGGGAGAGAAGGAGTGGTACTTCTTCAGCCTGAGAGACCGGAAGTACCCGACCGGTCTACGAACGAACCGGGCGACGGAAGCCGGGTACTGGAAGGCGACCGGAAAAGACCGGGAAATCTTGAGCTCCAAAACCCGGTCCACACTGGCCATGAAGAAAACCCTGGTTTTCTACACAGGTAGAGCCCCCAAAGGGCAAAAAACCAACTGGGTTATGCACGAGTTCCGACTCGCCGGAAAATTCGCTTACCATTTTCTCTTCGCCGCTTCCTCCAAGGTCCCCTCTCTCTCTCTCTCTCTCCGGTCGCCGTCCACGTCGATACATTAATTATTATTATAATTTTATTTTTTATTCTTCGTTTTTTTTAGTTGCATTAATGGATATCCATTGTTTTTACAAGAAATTCATAAAAGAAAAAAGAACCCCCATTTGTTTTTAAAATGTAGTTTTTTGAAAAAATAAATGGTAGAAGTTAGTTGGTTTTGGTTCTTTTTTTAATAATTTTTTTTTGTTAATTTATACTAGGGTTTTTGTCTTTTTTTTTTCTTAATATCTAGAAATATTTAGAAGTTTTAGTTTTAGTCAATCGAATATAAACATATATGTAATTTTAATATTTTTGTTCGTTTTTTTTTTCTAAAAAAAAAGTGAACTATGTTTCAAAGACGAACGTTGTTTTTTTTAGTGATTGCAATCAAAGGATTTATATCATTATTATTATTTTTGTTTAGTTGTCGAAATGCTTCTTTATTTTCCTATATTTTAAATATGTGAGACGAGCTTACTATTTATAAGTTTATATTGTTTTATTAAAGATATTTTAATTTCGTTTTGCCATGAAATTCAATTCAAATCATGGTTTAAAGATTTTTCTTTTCTGGGTTTTGCTGTCAATAATATAGAGATTAAATTAATGTACAATTATAGCAAAATCTATATTAATTTTTTTTAATTATTTTTAATTTATCACTTTTTTTAGAAGTAGAATAATCTTCTAAAACTATAATAGATGAAATCCCTAAATAAAACCATGTACTTTCTTTGATTAAATATGGTCAAACTTTATCAATAATGGAAACGGTCAAATTTATTAGGTGTTTAGGTTAATTTAGTCTAAGTTTTTTCCCTTTTTTTTATTTTTATTTTGATCAATTTAGTCTAAGTTTTAATTCTTTTATATAGTAATATAAAATGACAAAAACTATTCTATTTGCATCTGAATAATTTGGATTTAATTGGCATTTAACCCAACCCTATTCCTAAACAAATAATAAAAAAATTATACATTTAAAAAATTACATCATAAATAAGTGTATAAATTGGTAAAATGTACAAACATCTAATTATTACAATAATTAAATATTCATATTCTTATAATATATAATATTTCAAAACATTTATTACGTAAACACATCATTTCAATGCAGGACCAAACTCAGTGAAGAGGTTTTAATGTTCGGGAATAATAATAATAATAATAATTCCATAAATGAAATTTATGTTTTATGTTCCATCCCATTTATTTCCTCTTCAATAATAGACCTATGCGTAGGGTGGGGTGTTCATTCATTTATTTTACTTGGGATGAAGATTTGTTAAATTATGTTCAAGTTTGATGTTTTATTATGAATTTTCCTTGATATTTGTAAAAATAAAATAAAATAATAACAAAATCACTTTTTGAAAACTAGAATTAAGTTAAAAAAAAAGAGGCCTATTTGTTTTTATTTTTAAAATTTAGTTACGATATTAAATGTGTGAAATATCAAAGAGATTAGAAGAAGAAAATTATAATTTTTAATAATATAAAAATAGTAACGAAATTGATCGAAAACACAACAACAATAAACCTCAAAACAATTAACAACCTAGTGTAGTTACATGAATGCTCATGCCCTAATCATAAATATCCCAAAAAAGGGGTGATAAATAATAAATAAACACCATAAAAAGATTATTAATTCAAATTCATGGTTCAATTGAATAATATTAGAACTTTAAAATTAATGTTATTCAATTTTAGGGTTAAGCAATGATAGAGAGCCAAAATTTTAAAGTAAAATTTGAGACATTAAGCAAAATCCTAAACCCAAGATTTTATTATTTTATTATAATATATATTTTTAAGGTTTTGAGCTGAAAATAACACCTTTAAAGAAGACTATTTCCACACATTGTTGAACTGAACAGGGAAAAAATTATTAAATATTGCGTCACATATTTATGCACTTAAAATAGGAAAAAGAAAAACAATGTCTGTTTTCATTTATGATTTTCAATTTCAAACATTATATTAAATGCATGAAAAGTATTATAAATGTATGGTTGCTTTTGAATTAATGACTTGAAGACCAATCCTCCACTCTGTTATGGTCTTTGTGGTCTTTTCACCTTTGTAATATATTTTTTGACTTTTCAAATAAAAAAAATGCTCAATTTGGTTTACTTTGTTGCTTGATTGGTAAGGTGTTATATTTCTTAGATTAAAATATTATTAATTATATTTTCTTGTACTTATAAACAGAGAAAACAAAGAAATACATTGTTATCAATCTCTCACACACAAGTGTTAAGTGAAAATGAAAATTGAAAAATTATTTTTTAAAATATGAAAACTAAAAATTCAATAAAGTTTTCAGATGATATCCTAAATTTAGTGACCAAAAGAAAATGAATCAAAATGTTTTTAAAAGACCAAAAGAAAACTACATTTTAATTATAATAAAATTAGATAGCATGTTATAATTATACTTTGCCATTTTGAAACTTTTATTAATTTTGTGTATTTGTATTCATATTTATTTTATTTCAATCTTTATAAATTAGATTTATGTTTACTTCTCAATAAGTATTAGTTTTTTTTTATTAGGATATTATATAACGAATATAGAAAAGTTTGAACTTGTGATTTAAATTGACAAGAATTTCAGTTTCAAAACATAGAATGACATAATAATAATTATAGGTCAATAATATCTAGCTTCAATCGAATGATGAGAACTAACAATAAAACTTTTGAAATTATGAGAAGCTGTGTCTTAAGCTTTCAAGTAATATATAGTCATTGTTTGAGTGTGTTGGTTATATTTAGTCATTTTGTTTTAACCTTTTTCAATTATTATCATATCTATCGGTGGATGTTAGAATTGATTGATGATGAGTTGACAATGTTGGAAATGATTGAGGAAAAATATGATTTACAAAACAAATCGGTTCTTTTGGAGACTACATTTTATTCTGTTTTGATAATCGTTTTTTTATAATTAAACATTTGATTTTCATGACCTTAATTTACAACGGTTTAAAAAGTTATAAATTAATTGAGTCTATTAATTTTCATTTAATCTATATCAGTTTGTTTTTCACCTATATATATAGTTCCGTTGGTTTTGAAGGAGAGATATAGAATAACAAAAATTATTTCCACATATTTTCTAATATTTTTTGATCGGTTCTTTACAAAAATTTTGAACAAGTTTTCAATTCCAGTTCAGACAAGTGCACATTCGAGTTGGACTTTGTGTTAACTTTGGGGAACAATCGATTTTATATGATTTTGTACTGTGGTCGTGGCAGTGGTTCATCTCACGACACAATAATCATTTTCATCTAAAATTTCCATATTTGTCTGGCATACAATAGGTCTAAGATATCAAAATTTTTTTATTTTCTTCGAGTATCTAAGGCATCGGATGATCATTTCATTTTTGACTATTTGTTTTCTAAAGTTATGTTTGTTTGTTGTATGTTTTTACTTTCTTTAAAACTATATTTGCTTTCTTAGCCAATTCATATTTTTTAAAATCCTTAAATCTCAGAAGTAGATGAAAGAATTATGGAGAAGCTTTTTGTTGTAATTCTAACGCATGGGTTTGTGATATTTGGGAAGCAGGATGAATGGGTGATATCCAGAGTTTTCAAGAAAAGCGGCTCCGGCGCCGGTGCCGCCCTGTGCGGCGGAGCAATGAAGAAGTCTCAGCTGAACCCTGAACCGAGCTCGCCTTCCTCGGTGTCTCTGCCCCCACTTCTCGACTCATCTCCCTACCCCTCCGCCGCCTTCACTGAACGTGACGGCTGCTCTCTCGACGACCCGAGAGAGCACGAGCTGCACGTGACCTGTTTCTCCACCAACAACAACCTTGCCGGCGCCGGCTTCCCCTCCGGCGGCGGCCTCGATTTCTCCACCTCCGGCTTCCCGAGCCTCCAGTCGCCGTTCTTCTCCACCGTGGCTCCGGCGCCGCTGCAGCCGCTGACGCATCTCCTCGCCGGCGGCACCGACTTTGATGGGTGCGGCGGAGGTACGGCGGCGGAGGAGTCGAGACCAATCGGTTTCGCTGACATGGCTGATACGTGGACCTTCTAAAAAAGTCAAACCTCTCTCTCTCTCTCTCGCTAGAATCTTGAGATTTTCATTAATAAATGATTAGCGAAGCAATTTGAATGGTTAAAATTTAGTACAAGTTTGTTGTTCTTCACGTTTTAAAACTTGTATCAGATTAGAAAAGAAAAATAGGCCACTGATCTTTGTATCATACTTTTTCGTTAAAAATATATACTTGGTCTTTGAACTTTTGTTAAAGTATAGTTCTTGAGTTTTCGAAAGTAACGATCCAGTGCGGTTCAGTTTTGGAATTGCATGTATCAAATATCTTTCTCACACAACCAAGTTCTACTTCCTATTTTTTTTAAAAAATTGATTAGTTTAATGCAATCTATAAAAAAATAACGTACAATTTTTTTTTTTAAAAAATATGTTATAACAATTGTTTCTCTTGATAATTAACAAATAATTTAGAGTATTAAATAATATGTATATATATTTTTTGAAATGTACAAATTATCAATGATAAATTGTACACAATTTAACAATAGGTCTATTTTAGTCCCTATAACTAAAACACAGTCATTTAATATTAATTTACTAAAAACTATAATCTATTTTTTCATATTTAAAATTTAAATTTATCAAACATAATTAACTTCACATTGTAGGCAAATTTTCTAAAGTCCCATTTTACTAACAATTATTTTATAATCTACAAAAAAAAATCCCAAATAAACCTTAATTTTACACCTAGCTTGATTTCATAAAATTATTTAGTAAATCCTCAAAGATTTTTATTTTTATTTTGTCAAAATAATGAGTAGAAATTAAGGAGAGGTAAAAATTGTAACACAGGTAGAATTACAATGAATTGAAAGTTTAGAGTGAAAAATTGACGTAGAAGAAATATATATATAAATATAAATATATATATATATATTATATTTTTCCTGAAAATATATTTACCAAATCGATGAAAATTTTCATTAAAAAAAAAATCGATGATTAAAAAATGACAAAATGTTACCACATTCAAA